AATAGCACAAATGGTCCTCTGATACGGTGCGCAACTGGGCACAGTGGCAAATAGCACGAATGGTCCTCTGATAAGGTGTGCAACTGCGCACAGTGGCGAATAGCACGAATGGTCCTCTGATACAGCGCTCAACTGCGCACAGTGGCAAATAGCACGAATGATCCTTTGATACGCGCTCGATTGCGCATAGTGGCAAATGCCTCAAATGGCCCTTTGATACAGCGCTTGATTGCGCATAGTGGCAAATGCCTCAAATGGCCTTCAGATACAGCGCTCGATTGCGCACAGTGGCAAATGCCTCAATGTGGCCCTCAGATACAGCGCTCGATTGCGCATAGTGACAAATGCCTCAAATACAACTCTCAACTGCGCACAGCACATGGTACTTTGGTATGGTGCGCTTTCTTCACTCAGACATGATACTCAAGTATGGTGCGTTCTCTGCGCACTGTTTGAGGAATGCTCAAATATGGTACTGTCACAGACTTGGTACTTGGACATGGTGCGCTCACGGCACCCAAGATCAGAGCGCAATGTCACACTTAAATTCGAGTGTGCACAGTCGCGGTTGGACCATTATGCAGAGAATCGCCTCTTGATATGGCAAATCATACTCTATTCAAGTGCCCATTGGCACAACTAATCACTCAGCTTAAGTGCTCGTTGGCACAACCCATTATCAAGCCCTGTTTGAGTGCCTATTGGCGCAGCCAAATACTATGACAAATGCTTGCTATTTAGAAATGTGGATCACGTAACCCTCGGCGAATTCAAACCCAGACACAACGAAGTATGCTAGGTTTCACCGCATGACTCAGCATTAATAGTCTTCGTGCTCGGAGCAGTTGATCGCACAGCACCAGCCCTTAAGTGTGGTGAGCTAGGGCGCACAGTATCAACTGTCCTAGGCATAGTGCGAGTGAGTTCCCAATCTCAACAACTCTTTGGCACGGCGTTCGGGGCACATGGTAACCCTTAGCACGGCAAGCCCGAGTGCTCAGCACCAGCTGCCCTCGGGCACAATGCGTGTAGGCGGTCAAAGGAAGATCATAACTTTGCTATGAGCCAATGGGCTCGCGGGGGATTAAACAGACCCCGCACATCCGAGTGAGAAGGAGGAAAGAAGGGAGAGCGAGCAGGGAAGCAGAAAGAAGATGATACGGGAAGAGATGAGGGAGAAAGCAAAGTGGTCCTTGTGAGACCGCCTTACTTCCCCGAGCCCCCTCCTTCCCTTTACCTCCTTCTTGCATGTCTTGATCGTCCCTCCTTCTACTTGCTTTAACGTAGTAACTTCCGTCCTTCTCCTTCCTCGCTGCCCCGCCGGTCGGTCCACGTCACCGCGTGTGAGAGATTCTTACTTGCTGCTCTGCCTGCATTGCTGCATTCCGCAAGTAGGCATGCTCTCAATTTGTCTGATCCGTGCCACGTGCACAACGCATGCTGATCTGTTTTTCTGGGTGACGTGGCCTTTCTTTTATAATGGTGAGGCCAAGTGATCGGGGTTGTGCTGCAGTCCCATGGTCGGGGCTGTGGTCAAACTCTAGACCGGGCCTGTGCTAAAAATAGCAGCAGTCCCGACCTGGGGATATGAACAGTCAGTTCTATTTTTAGAACGGGACTGGCGCAGGCCCAGTCCCCGATAGATGAACAGTCGGTCCCACGCTAAAAATAGCGTGGGGCTGTGCTATTTTTAGAACGGGACTGGCGCAGGCCCGACTTTGGGAAACGAACAGTCAGTCCCGAGCTAAAAATAGTACATGACCCTATTTTAATTATTTGGGCCTGGCTGCTCATCTATA